AGGCATTGCTCTGCTGATACAAAGGCACACAGTTTGACTCCTCCAGCTGTTCTGCAGAAAAGGTGGGCAATATCCTCCCATAATTTACTGCCTCCAAAAATGGGCTGGAGGGTCATTTATGAGTTGGTTCCGACTTGACGGTAACAATAATTATTTTATCTGTTATGTGCCCTTGCATTGAAATAGACTCATAGCTGATCCTCCAGTGGGTTTTCAGAGGCAGAAAATTATAGGACAGGAGAGATTGTCCATCTTTCTCCTATGGAATTGTGGGTGAATTAGAACCACATGCCTTTGGAACTGTGTGTCTTTGAGAATTGACAGCACGACTTCTTACTATTAAGACCAGGGCACCCATTCTTTTATCTAGGATGTGCATACTCCTTAAAGAATCTTACTAGTATAGAGAATTAAGGATTGGACTGCTAACATGAAAAGAAGTGATTTGAGACCACCAGCCATTTTACAGGAGAAAGATGAAGAAAAACGTGTTTCCATAATGATTTACAGAAACCATATAAGGCTGTGTTAGTCTGTCTTAAAGCATTATTATGAGTAGTAAAAAACTGAACTATAGTGATTATTTTATATTTTTGGTACATATTACTTTTTCACATAGAATAAATGGCTAGGAGTGAACTTCTGGATAAAATATATTCTAAAGATGCACCCTTCCTCATTGACTTTTAAAAAATATCAGAGTATCTTGCTGATTTTCAGCCTATTATATGCAGAGTACATCATTCAGGAGGCTGGACTTTATGAGGAGGAAGGTGATGTTAGGATTGGAGGAAGCTTCATCAACAACCTGCATTATGCAGATGATGCTACCTTGCTGGACAAAACTGAAGAGGACTAGCAGTGTTTGCTGCAGAAGTGCAAGGGCAGCCCTCAATATGCATTGAAGCTCACCATCAAGAAGACAAAGATTCTCACCACTGAGCCAATTGGCAGTATCATGATAGATGGAGAAGAAATGGATGGTATTAACAATTTCAGCATCCTTGGTTCCACAACCAATATTTTTGACATCAGCAGTCAGGAAATAAAAAACCAAACAAACCAAACAAAAAAAAAGACCCAAACAAAAAACCCACCACCTAATTGCATTAGGGAAATCTACTATCAGGGACCTTTGCAAAGTACAAAAGAGAAATGTTGTCAGTCTAAAGACTAAGGTGTGCCTGATTCAAGCCATGGTCTTTGCAGTTCCATGCTATGCATGAAATTCCATCTGGACAATGACAAAGGATGACGGAAGAAGAATCAGTGACTTTGGGGTATGGTACTGGAGAAGAGTCTTGAACATACCATGAATTGCCAAGAGAACAAACATATCTGTCCTGGAGAAGGTGATACCAGACTACTCTTGGAGGCAAGAATTTCGAAGCTCTGTCTCATATATTTTAGGCATGTGGCCAAGAGGGACAAGTTTTTGGAGAAGGACATTATTCTTAAAAGGGTCAAGGGACAGTGCAAGAGTGGGAGACCCCAAATGATATGGATTGACACAGAAACTGGAATAATGGGGTTAGTTGTGTCAGAGTTGGTGAGACAAGCTTAGGGAATAGCAAGGTTCAGAGCGATTGTGTTTAGGGTACCTATGCAGGCAACTCGGTGGCACATAACAACAATTACAAAAACAGTAATGTGCTGATTATTTTTTATGTTGTTATATATTGTCAAGTTGTGATCAATTTATAGTTGACTCTACAACAGGTTTTCAGAGGCTGTGATTCACATGGAAGGAGATTACCCATCTTTCTTCCATGGAACAGCTGGTGGACTTGAACCTTGTGTCTTTGGGTTGGCAATGAGACTCCTTACCACTAGAAAACCATAGCGCCTTAATATGCGATAACTAGAGTGGTGATTTTAGGAACGGAAAATATGAAGATTTATAAGAAGAAATTAATCTCATTCTGCTACCTCACATCACACTTTCAATGGGCAACCAGTGGATGCCTTTGTTGTGTGTTTTTGTACATGAGTCTTTGTTTTATAATAAGAGTGGAATGAAATCCCTCAGATTACTATGCAATTAGTTTTTATTCGCCTTAGTTTTCTTCTTAGCATCTGGAAGTCTTGCCAGATCAGAGAGAAATATCTAATTTCCTCGTGTGAGGGCTGCAAAATTAGACTATAATTTATTCAACCATTCTCCTATTGAGGAATACATATATTGCTTCAAATGTTTTGGCTATTATAAATATTGCTGCAATTAACATTTAAAAATCTTTTGATACGTCTTTCCTGTCCTCCAGTAGCTAACACTTTTTGCCTTCCCACCAGCACTGGAACTGCTTCACCAACATGGGGCATTAGTTTTGATCTTATGCCAATCTAAAAAGGCAAAAAAAGGGTATCTTGTTGTTTTAATTTGCATTTCTTTGATTGCTAATTAGGTTGAACTTTTTCATATGTTCACTGGTCCATTTGCATTCCTTCTTTTGTGAAATGCCTGCTCTGGTCTTTTATGTTCTTCTCCATTGGAGGGCTTCTTTTCTTCATTGAATAGATTATTTAACAGTCATATATTGTAAACATTTCTGTCCATTTAGCCATTGCTTTTGACTTCTATTTTAGGGATCCTTAGGATCTTAAGGGCAAATGACTTAAAGGAAATAACATTATCTGTTTATTATCGCCATCTGTTTGTCTTTACTTTCATGCATAGAAAAGGCTTTTCTGACTCCTGGTTTTATCAACTTTTTCTAAGCTGGAAATGTTCTGCTTTACATTATTGAGATATTCTATTTTCACTGCTCTGAAGTCAGTTCTGACACACAGCAACCTTACAGATCAGAGTGGCACTGCAACAGAGCGTTTCTGAGGCTGGGGATCTTCCTTAAAGCTGAATGCCTTGTTTTTCTTTCAGGAAGTGGCCTGTGCATTTTAATCACAAACCTTTGAAGTTGGCAGCCCAAAGCTTAGTCCACTGCAACCTTTCCAGGCAGCGATGCAATCATAAAGCTCATTGGTTTTCCCTCGACTTGAAATACTCCTGTGTTTCTTGTGGCTGTTAAGTGACATTAAATATCCTGAAGGCATGTGGTTTGAGGCCACCAGTTGCTCTGCAGGAGAAGGATGGACAGTCTGCTCCTGTGCAAATAAATGCCTCTGAAAACCCACTGGAAGGTCAGCTATGGGTTGGTTTTGACTCCGTGGTACACCATCACTAGCTGAAATATTGGCAGTTCAAAATCATGCAGAGAAACCTTGAAAATTGAGTCAGGAGATCTATTTCCAAGTGATGATAGCCTTTAAATTCAGTGCTTGGGACCAATTCAACGATGGTTCATGCAGCAAAATCCTAACACTCAGATTTGTAAAATGTAATATAGTAGAATAATAACTAATAACTGGAATGGGAAAAATTAGGGACCAAAGGCCTGGAGTGTGTGATATGCATGAGTTGGGCTGAGTCCTTTCAGAATGTTCTTGACAGGAAGCTGATTAACTCACTGCTAAGACTATGGAGAATGTCACACATGCATAGAGTAGAAGTAATAATAGAAATCAGAATTAAAGGGAAGAAGTGGGAGAAGTGATGACGTTGTGGATATTATAATTAATGTTCTGAAACAAGAGGGGACCATCGGACCTTGCCCATCATTATCCTGGTTTTTTCACCTGGATCCTTTCCATATATACAACATAATGCTTGAGAATGATTGTATTAAAACACAATGTATATGAATTTTGTAAGCAAACTAATAAAGAAAAAAGAGGATAAAGAAGACAAGATTTTTATCTAAAAAAAAAATCCCAAAAGCAAGATGTGGGTAAATTGTTGAATAAAAAACAAGTTAGTTTTCTAAACTTTCATTCAAATCACACACACACACACACACACACACACACACACACACACAACTATAAAAAAACCCGAAAAATTCAAACCAAAGAAGCACTTAGCTACGATCTCTCAACTAGGAACGTCTGTTTCCAGCTCTCCTGGTAAAGAGATTTTGCTGCTATACAACATGCCTGTGACTTATTTTCAAGGAGGTGGATTACTTTTCTGGTAGGTTGCTGATCCACTGTTTCCCCCTTTGGTTATCATTAAAGTGTGTCCACATTTTACAAATTTTTATCCTTTCTTCATTGGCCGTGGCTGAACCAAGGAGATTCAGTCTGAAATTTTGTGGAAAACTCTACAAGGCAGCCCTGAATACCTAGACTGTTAAATCCTTTATTATGTGACAGCTAGAGTCAGAAACTCTTGCATCATATACTCTATTTTATAAGTTGTTTCAGTGGAATGTAAATCAGATCTGTTAATCCATATTAAGCAGAGCAGAAGTTTTTAAAAGTATAAGATATTTCTACTTTCAAGGTCAGTTGCCATGGTTCCCAACCCAGCAATTATTTTTGGCTTGTCTTTGAGGATAACCAGTAACATTTAATTAGTGTTAAAAAGAAAAGTTCTATTGTGGTCATCTTCAAGTAGGTCTTTCTCACTAGGACTGCAGAAGTTCACAATACTTTCTGCTCACAGTAATCTCATTTCTGCTTGTTTTGCATGTGTACTGTTTTACCTGAAAAACACATTTCCCTTCCTTTATGCTCTTTTGCCAACAACCTGTCATAAACTCACTTTTGTTAGTGAACTCTAAGTACTCCCATTCCTTTGCTTTGTCTCCATTAGTGTCAATGTAGCCTCTTGCAAAACACTAATTTATTTTTACTAAGATCCTTTTATGTTTTCAGAATTTTCCCCTGCAATGAATAGCTTCAGATTCTGAATATCCTTAGCATTGTATAGTAGGGGCTCTTGTCCACTTATTATTCGGCTTTTCTGTACTTCTTGAGAAAATAGATTCAGTTTTTTTTTATTTTCTTCACTGTCTAGCTCACATGGAAACTGGCACAAAAGATACCTAGTAACTTTGCAAATGATAAAACGTTGGGAGAGGGATGATTTTCACTATAATTTAGGCGTTTGAGACACAGTGGTTTTGACTGGGGAATTTACTTTCTTTTTAGGTGTTCCCAAGTCTGATTTGCTCCATAAAGAAGAATTTATTGAGCTCAAGGACATATTCTCTGTGAAACTGAAGCGACGTTGTTCTTCTAAACAGCAAAATGGCACTTTACTAGGAATCACCCTTTTCATATGCTTGAAAAAGGAACAAAACAAACTGAAAGATTCTACAATCGATCTAATTAATTTGAGTGAAGATCACTGTGACTTATGGTTTAGACAGTTCAAAAAACTTTTGGCAGGTAAGTACTCCATAATAGGAATTTCTAATGAGGCTGTTAATGTTGATGTACATTATTAATCCAAAGACAATGCTATATTTCCAAGTCCAAGAAACCCTGGGGCGACTACTATGAAAGAGCTAAAACGATCTGAAATAGCACAAATATACAAATCTGTTTTCAGAATTGTCATTTCTGAAGATTACTTATTTTTCTATTAATTTATCTTTAAATATTCTATTAAAATTTCTTTTTCTTATACCCACACATAGATGATAAGTGTTTATCTGAACGGAAAAGTCTTAAGTTTAAGAATGTTCTGAACATACTCTGTAAGGAACCATACTCTCTCAATTAGGAATTATCTACTTCATATCTACCTTGGATTTTTCTAAAGATTAACCAAAGAAAAGAGAGCATTTCTACTAGAAAATATCTCCTGATGAACTCAGTACCTCTGAAATTTCTAGATGGCATTTATGTTTTACATACTAAATAAAATGTGTAGCTATAAATACAATGTGATTTGTATTCCTGCATGCTATCTGTTGTGGTTATGGGCCATCGAGTGGGGATTGTAGTGCAGCTTCTTGCCACTAGGCCAAGAGAGCTCACCTCACATGTTATCTACTTGGAATAAAATTAAGCTGCCTTTTAGGACTGATTTTTGTTTTCATAGATTTGCAAATCACTTTGCTTTCCATTTAGCATGTTTTTCCTCTTTGCTGGATCAGGGCGGAAGCAGCTGGTATAGGTTTAGACAGATTGGGTTGTTGTTGTTATGTGCCATCGAGTCGCTTGCGACTCATAGTGACCCTATGTACAAGAGCCCTAAATGCCGTTCTATCCTGTGCCAAACTTGCTGTCTCAAACACACTCATTCCCAACACTCCACTCACAGAATCGATCCATCTCATCGAGAGTCTTCCTCTCCTGTGCCGTCCCTCCTCTCTCCCAAGCATGATGTCCCTCTCCAAGGACCAGTCCCTCCTTGTAACATGCCCAAAGTATGTCAGATGAAGCTTCAGAATCCTTGGCTCTAGGGAACATTCTGGCTTCACCCTCTCCAGGACAAACCTGTTTGTTCTAGCAGGCCATTGTATATTCAACACTCTTCTCCAGTACCACAGCTCAAAGGCATCAATTCTCTTTCTGTCATCCCTATCCACTGTCCAACTCTCTGATGCATAGCACGCAATTTCAAGGACAATAGCCTGGATCAGGTGCACCTTAGTCTCCAGCCTGATGTCATTGCTCTTCAGTACTCTTGAGAGGTCCATCACAGCTGGCTTTCCCAATGCAATTTGTCTCCTGATTTCGTGGCTGCTGTTACCAAGAGTGTTGACTATGGAACCAAGTAAACTAAAACTGTTAACTATCGCAATCTCTTCACCATCCATGCTGATGCTGCCAATTGGCCCAGTGGTGACAGTCTTTGTTTTCATGATGTTGAGCTTCAATCCATATTGAAGACTGCAGTCCTTGACCTTCTGCAACAAGCGCTTCAGGTTCTCCTCAATTTCAGCAAGCAGAGTTGTGTCATCCACATAATATAGGTTGTTGATAATTCTTCCACCAACCCTGATGCCTCATTCCTCCTCGTACAGCCCAGTGTCTTGGATGATCTGTTCTGCATACAGATTGAAAAGGTATAGAGACAAAATACATCCCTGACAGACCCCTTTCTTGATTTTGAACCATCCAGTGTCTCCCTGCTCTGTTCTGACGACTGCCTCTTGGTCCAAGTATAGGTTTTGCATTAGAACTATCAAATGTTCTGGGATTCCCATTCTTCTCAGACTCAGCCATAGCTTGTTGTGATCCACATAGTCAAAAGCCTTTGCATAGTCAGTGAAGTGCAGATAGACATTCCTCTGGTATTCTCTGCTTTCTGCCAAGACCCATCTAATATTAGCTATAATATCCCTAGTACCACCACCTCTTCTAAATCCAGCCTGCACGTCTGGAAGTTCTCTGTTGACAAACTGGGTACCAGACAAAAAGAAGGCTTATGGTATTAGATAGTTCTCGGTCTAGCATCATTGACCAAGAAAACTGTGAAGATGTTGGATGGTCAAAACCAACCAGCTGTTAAAACATTCCAAGGAAGATGAATGAAAGTGCACAGAAGTAAAAGTAGGGGGCTGTTAACGCAGTGTAAGTAGCAGGCACTAGGCTGGCAGAGTTCAACTTCCACAAAAGAAATGAATCCTCAACAGTGTCCACATGCCGACTGCTGCAAAATCAGCCCTCCTTTCTTGCTCCATATCTTCTTTCAATTCTAGCACCAACCATTTCTCCCACCATTCTCCCTACTCTGTTTGATTCAGTCATCCATTGCAATGGCTACGTAGAACTCACAGAGAATATTCATAGTTATGGAATTTAATAAAGACCTCGCCTCAACAAACTCAACTCATTGCCATCCAGTTAGATCCAGCTCATCGCTGACCTTCCAGTGGGCTTTCTGAGGCTGTCAGTCACTTGGGAAGAGTTGATCTATCTTTCTCCCTTGTAGCCACTGGTGGGTTTAAACTGCCAGAGAGGCACTATCTTTGAGTCAGCAGCATAACTTTCTACAGGCTGCATTACTGGAGCTCCCTCAAGAGAGAGGCAACAAGCTGTATGTTGTTGTTGTTATGTGCTGTCGAGCTGCCTGTAGCTCACAGTGACCCTCTGTATAATAGCTCAGAACTCTGCCCGGACCTCAGCCAATCTCGCTGACTCCAACACACCTAATTCCACTGCCCCAGTTAGAGGTTGTAATTATTCAGGATAATTCTTTATTCAGAACAGTGTCTTCTCAGGTAAGCATGCAGGCACTCCTCTCTCTGATTCTTGGCATGTTGGCATAGGCCTCTATTAATAGACAAGTGTTAAAAAGGTCTTCTCATTTCTGCCAACTGTGTGTCATGCCCACTCTTCCACTAAGCCGAGGCCCTATGTGCTGGGATCTAGCTTTGTAGTTCAGCAGACCTAGTTAGCTCACCTCTGCCTCACATCAGTCTCTGACTCTCTGTTACTTCTGCTGCTGTCACCACTGTTAGCATCACTACTGCGAATGCTGCTCCCATTGCTGCTGCTGTATGAACTATTGTCTAATCTCTGATTTGCCCAGAAATCTCACATTCAAGGAACAGGCTGTACTCTCTGATTCTTCTTTCTTGTTAATATGAGTTTGTCATTTTCTGCCTCAGAGATTGCTCAATTTAAGCCTAAGAAACTTGATCAATCCACATGTTAGTGTTCTACATATCTCATTTGTGCATTCCCATCCTAAGGTGCTCTTTTGCACTATTAACATAAGGGAACATGTTCGAATCCAATAGCTGCTCTGCAGGACAAAGATAAACAGTCTCTTTCCATGTGATTCACTGCATCTGAAAACCACGTCAGCTATGGGTCTTGTTCCAACTCCACGGTACACAGCAATGAATACTATTAGCAAGTTATCTAATCCTCCTGGTGGACCAGATACACCTCAGATTTGTTTAGTCCTGTACTTTGTCAGCTAGTGATAGTTAAAGCCAACATTAGAAAAGGCATGAATATTCCAGAGTAGCACTGAAGTCCACTAACAAAGAGGCCCCTTGCCTTCTTGTGAGTGATTTTCAGACTTTCAAGGACAGCAGAGTCTTTTATGGCACTTCAAAGGCCATGGCCCAGTACTTCTCTCTGAAAACATGGAGTACATCTGTATTTAACTAAAAACACTAAATTAACAACGGCTTGTTGGTTTATTTATTTATTTATTTATTTTTAAAATAGCCATGCCATTATGTTATACTAACTTCAGAAAAAAAGGGAAAAGTTGGAAATAAAATGAAGAATTTCAATTGAATTCAGTTTCTCATTTTGGGTACTTATTAAGACTTATATGATCGATAAAGTAAGAATGTGCTGTTTTGTTATTGTTGTTATGTGCCATCAAGTCGACTGACTCATAGCGACCTTATGCACAGTAGCTCTGACCCCTGCTTTATCCTGAGCCAGTATCACTGTCTCTGACACACCTCCCCTCATTACCCCAGTTATTGTGTCAATCTCATCTGGGGTCTTCCTCTTCTATGCTGTCCCTCAACCCTTCCAAGCATGATATCCTTCTCCAAAGACTGGTCCCTCCTGGATACACACCCAAAGTATGTGAGACGGAGTCTCAAAATCTTTGCCTCCAAGGACCAGCTTGGTATCCCCCTCTCCAGGACCAATCTGTTATTTCTTTTGGCAGTCCATGGCATGTTCAGTACTGTTTTCCATCATCACAGCTCAAAGGCATCAATTCTTCTTCTTTCATCCTTGGTCATTGTCCAGCTCTCTGATGCACAGCAAGTAGCTGAGAAGACCATGATCTGGCTTTGGCACACCTTCCCCTGTAGACTCTCAGCATTCTTGAGAAGACACTGCTTTTCTTTGCATTAAAGATCTGAGGAAATCTTCTCCCATGGTACTGATAAAGACCTCACTGAGTGGTCATGATGACCACCTTCAGTAATATTTCTCTCATAAACCCAATAATAAGGAAGCAGGAAACATCACAACATAGTTCAATTTAGTAAAAGCAGTTTTATAGGAATATAGAGAATACTCAGTACTTGTGGAAAAGAATTCAACTATTTATTACGCTCACTGAATGATGCTGTGCTTTGATCTAGTGCTGAGTCTAGACAAATTGTTGAGATGAATAAACTATGCATTTTAAGCTTTCATCTGAGAATTTTGTTGTCCGCTATGTGATTGTCCATTGGTTTACAAAATTGGAAAATATTCTCCACTTGTAGAATTTGTGTATAAAATACACTTAAGTTTAAAGAATGATACATTGAATTTACATCCTAAAAATACAAATGACTCACAATGCATATTTGACTCCCTGTCTAACTAACTATAATTATATTTAAAAATGATTAATTGGTGTCTGACAGTAGAAAATTACACTCCTGCCTTAGTCATTGACAGAGCATCTTGAGACTAGAAGGTAAGTGTAGTTTTCATTCTCAAATTATTCCTGATACATTGCGAAT